TTTTTTTTTTTTTTTTTTTTTTTGTTTTTAATGGACCAGTGAGCATTTTGCAGTATATGTGCAGATGTGTATATAGCAAACAAAGCTACAGGTAGCAAACTTGTCTTGGTCATTCTGTCGTATCTCTCATAGGTAGGGCAAAGACCATGAAGGGGTCAGATACCATGGCTAGATAAACACTGTATGGTTCATATTATTGCGCCTTTGGTTGTAGCTGTAATCCTGTAAAATGAACTGGTAAGAGCTATTGAAGACAGACAAGCCTAAAATATCATAGCAGTGCTTTTTCAGATTCTCAGTGCCACAGTTGAATAGTACTGTATACTGCTTTAGTATGCTGAGCATGTGCGTGCCCTCTGTTACACTTTTACCCACGAGATCCCACCTTTGCTTCTGTGCCACTGCTGACTTTCATGCAGCTCAAGAACCTGCTCAGGCCAAAAACTGAATTGGCACGATTAATAGTGTCATACATCAGCTTCAGCAGCCTCTGGCTACAGAATGAGCTGTTTCAGCCTGCTGATTCAGCAGAAAGCTGATCTTGCCCCCTCACGCCCCAATTATTCCATCAGAATAGTTCAGTGAGACGATATATTCTTTGGCCTCACTACTGTGCAAGGAGGTTGGAAGGGGAGCGCAGGAATGGTGACCTTGGGCAGGTCACAGGGTAGTACAGGAGAAAAAGACAGGGCTAAAGAACTGCACCTCCTGCAGCTTTTTAATGTTTTCAAATGTTTCACCATCAGATTGAACAGTGGCAATTGATAAAACTCAGCATCTGATCAGCCCAAACTGCTCCTGGCACAGCTCTCTGTAGTTACAAACACATTAAGTCAGCACTGCTAGCAAAACAAATTATGTTGCCCTTCCCTGGTCACCACTTCTGACCGTAGCATCACCCTTCCTGTTGGCTCTAATGTTCTCATAGCCAGGGATAGAAAAAAAAAAAAAAACAAAACATTATTTTAAGTCAAAACAATATTTTTTCCAAATATGTGTTTGTATGGATGAGTTATCCCATGTACTTCACTAGACAAGAAAAAGAGCTTTATGTGTTAAACAGGTGAAGCAGGCGCCAAGCTGAAGGGGAATTCTGCCGTCGTCACCCACGTGCCGCGGGGCGGGCGATGCAGAGGCGCTGAACCTGGAGGAGCACCTGCAGCCTTCTTCGTTAGACTGAACCAGATGGAGAGGGCGATCTCGTGTGTAAACACAACGCTGGGTCTAACGGGGTTTAGTACCAGATAAAAGTGACTTTATTTAATGCGTGGGGTTTACAGCAACAGTTCTGCCCAAAAACAAACATTCAAAATGCAGACACTGTTTGCTAATTGTTAGTGATTACAACAGCAAATGTGATTAGGCATGCCTACAGCCAGCACTGTCTTGCTGTCGGATTTGCAACAGTTATCCCATCTACTTTGCAACTAAATCAGTTTCCAGCGGTTGAGACCAAATTCAAGTTCTCGTGTGTCTCTACAGCCTGCGTTTCAATTCTAAGCAGCGAAGATTAATCGCCAGAAAGCGCAAAGCAAGGCTGGGAGTATCTTTCTATCGCACCGCTCCTCGGCAGTTACTCGATTGCTGCCTTTCTCTCTCGCCGTGCGCTGCTCCATTCCACAGCGAGCCATCTCCACACGAACTCCACCCGCACCCCCGCCAGGCACACACAGCCGCGCTCGCCCCACCGCGGACTCAGGTCTCCGCCGCTGCCTCCCTTCACGCGCCTCCCGCCCCGCGGCCGCCTCCAGCCAATGGCGGAGCCGCTTGCTCGCCGCGCTCGCGCCCTCCAATGGGCGGCGCGATTGTTGGCCTGCGGCCTGGGGAAGCCGCACCCTGTCGGGCGGGGGCCAAGGGGGGGGGCGGAGCTCGGCGCTGGGGCCAGTGGCGGAGGCGACGGGCTCGGCGGAGCGGTTGCCCGTTGCGGCCCCGTCTTTCTCCTTTCGTCGCGCCGGTGCCCGCCGTTTTTTCTCATCCGCCCTCGGGTGAGCGCTGCTGGGGCGGGCCGGAGGGGGCGAGGAGGAGGAAGGCGAGGGGCGTGCGCGCGCTGCGGAGGGGCGCAGCCGTTAACGGTCCGCGGCGGGCGGGGGTGCGGCCGGCGGCAGCGGCGGCGTTGGAGGCGCGCGGGGCTGCGAGGGGCAGGAGAAGGAAAAGCGGGCGGCGTCGGTAGCGGCTCGTGTGGCCTCAGGAGGAGGCGAGGGGGTTGTGGAGACGCCTCGAAAACAGACGGCCGGAGCGGGGGGTGGGAACGCGGCTGCTGCAGCCCGCTGCGGGGCGGCGGCGGGAGGTGCGATCCGGGCGGGATGCGGCGGCTGCGGGCAGCTCTGTCAGCCGGGCGCCGAGTTGCTGCTGCTGCTGCTGCTGCTGCTGCTGCTTCTTCCAGCTCCGATGCCCTCAGCGCCGCCCCCGCCGTCCTTCTGCCTCACCTGGCCGTTCTGCGGCGGGCGCTTGTTTTGTTTACTCTGCTGGAAAACGGTGCCTGTCCGTGTGTCTGCTTTTTGATGTCGCACGTCTTTCCGCACGTAAATACTCTGCAGTCTTTGGGGCGTTCTAAGGGTTGGTTGTTAATCGGCGTTGTCTTTAGGTGAAACCAGCCATTAGGGAAGGGGGAGAGATCCGGTCAGGCTGGAAGAATCCCCACAGTTGTGTTGAGACGAGCACTGGGTGGTATCTTCACGAGGTGCTGCCAATACTGTTTTTCTTTCTGCTCTCTGGGAAGTTGCTGCTGATCATGAGTGTTATGTACCAAAAGCGTTTCAGGGGACCGTTTTTCTATGGTGACATGTACCTATATGGAGCTCTGTGGAGCACTCCTACCTTCTGCTGGTGGGTTCTCGAATCCTCATGCTGCAACAACTGCCAGATATTTCTGTATGCCTTGCAGAAAGCTACAGGTATCTCTGAGCATGGATCAGAGACTCCTTAAAGCTGGAAGGGACCTCTGAGGGCCATTTCGTCCAACTGCCCTGCAGTGAACAGGGACACCGCAGCTAGATTGGGTTCCCCAAGGCCTGATCCAGTCTGGCCTTGAAAGTCTCCAGGGATGAGGCATCAACCACATCACTAGGAAACCTGTGCCTCTGCCTCAGCGCCCTCATGTAAAAGACTTTTTCCTTTCATCCAACCTAAATCTCCCTTTTTTGAGCTTACAGACTGTTTACATCTCTGGGCTTTGTAACATGACCAAGTGTGCTGATGGAAATCAGTAGTTCCTAGCTGTCCCAAGTATTATTCTTACTGATAGAATAAAGATTTAATTTTAAAAATAAAGAAATATAAACTTAGGCTTCTATTTCTTTTGTCAAATTGATTGATGTAAGAGCTGTGTTTCTCAATTTTAGAGTTGTATTCTGTCCCCATTTGTTATTATACAACAACGGACTGGCTCCTCATTCTGCAGCAGGTGGCTTTATATTCAGCAAGCCAATTTGATGTGATCATATAAAAATAGGCTTAAGTGAACATAATGTCTTAAGGAGTTTGCTTCAGAATTTAAATCTGGTGGTTTGCTCAGAGTTTGCAGGAACTGAAAGCTTTTACATCTGTGCATCAAAATGCTTGCATGTTTAGGTATTCTGTAATTTTGCTGGCTTCCTTTCTTCTATATGAGGCTCCATGTGGGATATACTTCTTTAGCCAAAAACATTAGTGCTGCCTGAGCGTTTTCTACTTAATGTTGGTGAATAAAAAGTGATGTGGGAAATCTGAACATCATGCTTCATCTGAAAGAAGCACTTTCACCAGTGCATTTGCCAGTGAGTTCATTAGGGTATGGTTCACTAATGCGGTAGCGAAGAAGGTCATTTAGTGAATCAGTATTTTTCTGTGACAGTTTTTTCAGTGTCTCCAGCAGAAAATGACTCATCTCTGTTGTCATTCTTTGAGGTTCACCACTGGTGTTGAATGATGTTTTGTAGGTACAGAATCAAGTCATTTGGTGAGAATATGTGGCCAAACCCATTGGAGTACTGAGAGGCTTACATGGCATGAAGCTGCTTCTGCCCCATTTGAGCCTGGTTTTGAAGGCTAGCTTCCCAGCATGGAGTGCTTTTAACAAATCTCCTTTACCAGCATTCTGTGAAATACCATGGAAGAAAAAGCTGGATTTCCAATTGGCTAATTCTGTAAAGAAATAAAGTAAAATATTATAATGGGAGGCTTCAAATGAGGAGAACCACATTCAACATGTTGGTTGCTAGTAAGCATCCAACTTCTGTGTGACAAATACCTTCTGTATCTGGAGAGGTTAGGCAGTAAGCCATGTATCTCCTACTTTCTGGAGTTGTAGTTTTTGTAATTATTTGAGAACTAACAGTGGTGAAGATTGAGTCATTTGTAAATCCTAGTGTCTGTCCAGTGACTGACTCCTGCTTAAAGGGGAAGAATAAAAAGAAAACTTATCTATGCCTTTATGAGGAAGCGTGTCAAACAAGTGTCACCTTGGTGTTCTCGTGTTTCATGTGTCCTCACTGTGTGGCAAACTAAAAATAATGCTAAATTTCTGATGTTAATGCCTTTTAGACACTTAGAGTTATTGGTGCTTCATATTTTAAAGTCGATTGAGGAGACAAGCTGCTGGTTCTGCTGAGCAGGGTATTTGACATCTGCTGAACCTGGCTGAAAGTCTTCCATTACCTCATAGAACTGTGTTAACAGATTCGAGAGCACTAACTTCTAACTTATTTTAAATAGCTGTCCTTCAATTACATGAGTTTTGGAGTTTTCACACATTTCATCTATGCCTAGTCTTGCCTTTTATGTAACATTTCTCTGCAAGAGCGCTCTTTTGCGATAGGGTTGAGAATAGCAGCTGAACAAACCTGTTGCTTAAGGAAGTTTGGGAGTGTGAATCACGTATGGCAGTGCACTTGTTGAGGAAAGCTTCTGTTCATTAGGGATGGTGATGCTTTAAAAGTGTAAATTGTACAGATATTTCCATTTATGGTAATTTTGGCCTTAAAATTACCCTTTTATTTGGAGAGGTAATGGAATGGAATGTTCAACGTGGCTTTGACGAAATCCATTATCATCTCAATAAATTTCTGCTTTTTATTGAAATTCATCCTGGTAACCTTTGGTCAGATTGAGGAAAGAAAGCAATGTTTGCATCAGTCAGAGGATGTTGTTTACTGCAGTCTTGTCAGCCCAGCAATCTCAGTGCAGTTAGTGGTTACAGTTGTGGGGGCAGAGGGAAGAGCAAAGATTGTGGGAAGCACCATTTCTAGAATTAGTTTCCTCAAATCAGGTACGAGCTGGGGTAATGTCATTTGTCACAAGGGCTTTGGATTAGTGTTCTGACCGACTGCCCAGGTCCTGAGTACAGTTCAGGTATTACTGCGACTTGGGGAATCGTAGAATCTATCTGTTCATCATTTCAGGGCAAACTGAATTTTGGAGCAGAGCTGGGTTTGAGGAACTGCTGCCAGTTGGGCTGGCTCAGCCATCTGTATGCTTGCAGGCTTTGGTGGCTTGGCTCTTTGACCGTTAAGAAACTGAAGATGTTGTCCTGTAGGTGTGGCTCAAGAGGACAAGAAGTGCTTGAACACCTGCCCAGCCTCGCTTCCTGGGTTGTGTTTTGAGAAATGATCTCTTCCTGCTCTGGGTGCACTTACTGTTCAGTGGCGGATCCGCCTCTCAACCTCCGACCAGTTGTGTTCGCAAGTGAGACTTCAAAGTCTTTCACTGGCGGCTGAGTGGCTTCCCTGCAGATTAATTAAAAATCAAAATATGTGAAGAAGAGCACATTTCAGGTCACTTTTAAAACTGGAGTATCAAGAACAGCTCTTCAAAACTCAGATTTGGAGTTTCCATGCTCTTCAGATGGGTCAAATATTGCTTTCAATTTGCATTTGATAAATGCATTGTGTTTTCTTTCTTTTTTAAATTGCTATCTTTTATAGCATGTGCTGTGTATAGTTTTCTGATCTTGACTCATGAAATGCAAAAAAAAAAAAAAAAAAAAAAAAGAATAAAACATGTTAGAGTTTTGAGCTTTTCTTCTATGTACCTACATGAATCGCTGAGAAGAAGCCACGGAAAACATGAGTGGTAAAGGAGTAGTTAATCAGTAGCTCTTTATTGCATCTTTGATACTTTCTCATCAGAAGGTAGGTTGAATCTTGGTACTTATCCATTCAAACACAACAGATAAGGAGAAAAATCAATTAGCTAAGATCTTTTTGATTGGAGGCAGTAAGTGTTTTAAAACAACTTTGGGGTAAGAAACTATAATTTGACTTGCAGTGGAAACTTGGTTTATTTTAGATTTGCTTTCTTTTTCTATCTATGTGTCAGATTTCTATGGTGCTATCTGTGCTTTTTATCTCGGTTGTGGTTCAGATCCTACAAGGTCGGGTACACAATTTCAGCTTTGTTCTAGTTAATGAAGTTTTGCCAGATGGAACAAGCAAGTGTTTGGGCAACCCTGAGCACATGAAGGTTGTCTGCTTTTCTGTTCTTTTCTGGTAGGTTGGTTTGGATTTTTTGGTTTGTGTGTTTTTAAGGTTACTTAGAACTGTGCATATAATTATTGTCCCAGCATTGTCACTGTGAAGGTGAAAGGTGCAGAGTACTCAGTGACTTTAGTTCTCTGCTAATGGATGATACAGTTTCTTTAATTGTCACTATGAAGTACTGCTGAAAGTCTGTAGAGTATGTTCACATGCAAAACATCCATTCCATGTAAGATTAAGGGAAGTGGGGCATTGCTAATGTCGTGCATTAACTGAGAGATGCAGCATACTTAGTTGTGCTTTTTCTTCCAGAAAATCTTGTCTAGCGCAGCTTTGCTTATTAATCTTGAATGAGCACAGCTTCAAGTATTTCTGAAGCACAGGGCCTTAGTTCCTCACATTGTCACTGCAGCTTCTGAACACATAGCTGCGTTCAGCCAGCCTTAAGTAGTGAAGCAGTTACTTCAGGAATACTGGGTGCCTGATGTCACTTACTGATGACCTAAGTCACACAGTTGTGCTCCACAGATCGC